ACACACACACACACACACACACACACACACACACACACACACACACACGAAAGCCTCCTCTCAATCACACCCCCTCCCCATACACCACATGCACACAAAATCATAAAGAGATTTGGTTTGACTTATTCTTTGTTATAAGAAACTTTTGTTAATTCCAATTTGGAAGAAAAATCAGTTTGTTGCTTTTTTTACCCTGTTTCAAATTTTAAAACAATTGCATGTTTACAGAATTCCCCCACTTGCCACATGTGACTCTAATAGTTCTTTATGAATGCCATACTTGTCTAGATTCGTGCAGACAAGATAGCTGGCTACAGATCTCAGTTTTAAATGGATTTCTCATCTTAGTTTAGTAAACTGAGCCAGACTCTCTACCCAAAGAACAATTTCTAAATTTTCTATGACCAAAACATTTCCAAACAAAGCAATTGAAGTGAGCCAGAGGTGATGAGGAAGGCTTTGCACTTTTATGATGTTGAGGTAAAACAGCCTTTCATTCAGGTGAGCCACTTTTTACTGTCATTATTACTACCACTAACTGGAGAGAAATGCAAAGGCCTCACCCTTGACAGTCTTCACTGGCTTTGTCCATCAGTATTATCCATGGACTTCGAAACACCTCAGTACGGCGGTCCAGACTTTTGACATGGCTTAAGCATAGCAGTACACTTAAAACACAACTGCAGTTTTTTGGGATGATTTGCTTGGCTCTGATTTTTTTTGTATCCCCTATAGCCTTTGAATTCCCACACAGCCTCCTGGGGCTTCTTTTTCCCCTCACAGGGAGGAGGTACTTGTTGATGGTACCTCTGAAGACAGAGACCATGACTATTACAACTCCATCCCAGGAAAGCAGCCACCTGACGGCGGCATTTCAGATGTGCGGATCCAGGTTCAAGCTACAGACCAAACGGCTTACTGCCCTATCCGGTGTGAAAAGTTGTGCTATTTGGTAAGCACTGTTTATTGTTACTGGTACCAGAGGTCTGATTCTGTTCTTACCACTAGAGCCCTCGATTTGAGGATTTTCAAATGTGAAAGTACCATCTTCTTCAAAAGTGAGGAAGTCAATCACAGTCTACACTGGATCATTTTTATTCCCAGTACCCTATCCACAGCTTTTGAGATGACAACATATCCGTCTTCACTGGGAAAACGAAAACCACCCAATGCACGGCTGTCATATTTACCTTCCTACCTTACCTAGTCTTCCTGGGTTCTCTCTTCTTCCTGAGTCACTGTGTCTGAGTATAATCCTTCCCTGTGCTCTGACCCTCCTCCTGCCAGCCCTATGGCCCTGTTCTGTCCAGAACCACCCCATTGATTCTTTCTCTTCTGCCCGTGCATAAGCTTTGCTGCTGCAACCCACCAACACCACCTCACCTTTTTCCATTCCCACTTCTAAGGACTGTTGTCTTCATCCTGGCTCTCACACACACATGTTGAGACCTTAACTCTGCTTGGCAGCCTGATGTAAATGACTTCTATGTAGGCCACTTCCTTGCTAAATGGATTCTCCCTTTAGTAATCTTCCTCCATCTTTAGAGCTGGCACCCATTGGATGAGTCCTCTTCTATTGGCTTCCAAACATTATTTCACCTTTGCGCTCCCTTCCTGAACCTTTCACTTCTGCCCCAGGTCCCTCTATCTCAACATTTATAGTATGGTTAAAGGCATCCTACAGTGAGCACTCACATGTAGAATCCCACAGTGAGCCCTTGCATGTATAGCATTTGTCTTATTACATTTGTTTTATCATATGGGATGTCATTATCCATCTCAAACTTTTCTTTGCATATTTGTGTATGGTTGTGTGTGTGTGTGTGATCATTTGTGTATAAGGAGGTCAGAGGTTGATGTCTATCATTTTTCTCTGTATTTACTTAGGCAGGGTCTTTTGCCTGTTCACCTAGTCAAGCACCCAGCTTGCTCGAGGGATTCTCTCTTGCTGCTTCCTGTGTTATGGGATTGTTGGGCACTGTCTAGCATTTATATGGGTGCTAAGAATCTGAACCACAGTCCTCAGGCTTGTCTGGAAAGCTTTCTATCTACAGAGCCACAGTCCCACTTATTTCTGATCCTTTGAAAAGTGAGTTGAGTCTTTCCTTTTCTCTCATATTTTCTTCCGTTTCCTCTTGGAGACCGCAGCCCTATCTTGCCCTGGTGTAAGCACTTTCAGTGGCTCATCTTGGGCTTAGGTCTTGCCTCTAGCCAGAGGACACATTGGTCCTGCTTCAATCCTTCCATGTCTCCTAAGCTCTCATACCCAATTGCGCTGCATTGAGTCTCACTGTGTAGCCCTGGCTTGGACTCCCCGAGATCCACCGTTCTCTGCCTCGTGAGCACAGGATCGAGGGCGCGTTACCATCCCTGCTCCCTTCCCCTATCATTTAGTCATATGTATCCTGCTACTCACCTCTTTCACTTGCTTTGCCTTTTCTTACATTTTGGAACCCATGACAACTTGTGCCCAATAGCTAACCTTCTACCATGTGAGTATCTTTTTTTTTATCCACTCAGATTTCACTCAACCTTATCAAGTTCTGGTTCTACTTGCCTAAGTGATTCTGAAGCTACTTACCCAGCACTGATTTCAGGTCCTCAAGCCATCTTACATACTATTGTCAGATAATGCTATTCATTTACTTTAATTTTTAAAGATTGTGTGTGTGTGTGTGTGTGGTGTGTACACATTCATGTGTGAGGGCATGTGCATGTTGCAGTGTGTATGTAGAGGTCAAAGGACAATCTGAAGGTGAGTCATTGCTTGAGTAGGGTCTCTCTCTCTCTCTCTCTCTCTCTCTCTCTCTCTCTCCCTTCCTCTCTCCCTCTTTCTCTCTTCCCCTCTCTCCCTCTCCCCCCCCCCCTTGCTAGCCATTCTGGGAGCTTCTGGGAATTTACTCACCCCTGCCTCCCATTTCACCCATGTATGCACTGGGATTACAGAGTCCTACTGCATAGGGCTTTGCCTGGACTCTGAGGATCCGAACTCCAGCCTTCACACTTGCTTTACACATTGATCCATCATCTCTCCAGGTCCAGATGAGTCTTTCTTCTCCAAGGCATCAGCACATCTTCACTCTGTTGCTGGAGAAAATGTGTGCAAAGGTGGGAATGACTGAAGCCCTCTAATTGGCTGATGTTTTCGAGAATAACTAGCAAAACCTCAGCAGAGCAGGGTTCTAGTTTGTCATCCCAAAGCAGGTAGCACTTGGGAAAGCTCAGTCTGTGGTGCATTTGCTGTGCAACCTTCAGGATCTGAGCTTAATCCCCTGGACCCACATTAAAAGCACAGTCGGGTGAGGTGGTGTGGGCTTATCGTCCCGGTGCTGCAGAGGGGGTAAGAGACAGCTAGCTAGGCCTCCCTGGTCAGCCAGCCTGGTCTGTCTCAGAGAGCCCCTGGTTTCAGTGAGTGACTGAGACTTCAAAATACCAAGTCAATGGCCTCTTAAGAATGAGACCCAGTATTAAACTCTGGCTTCCACACTTACGTGAACACACACATACACACTCATAAATACATTCACAAACATACACACAAAGCAGTTAGGCATCACTTTCTAGCAATTACACCACTTTCTAGCTGAGACTGTGAATGTTGGAATGTGACTTCTGCAGCAGAAGAAGGGACTCTCAAGACACAGGACGTGGGCAGTCCTTTTGACTCCCCAACCTTCAGATCCACGTTTGTAACTAACTCTGGAAGGGTGGCCATTGAGTACTATTCGCTCCAACACAGATTCTGTCTCCAACCTGTCAGACATCTCCTGTGTCAGAAAGTGAAGTTGCCTGCTCTATTTTCCTGAAAGCTATCGTTTTCTTTATGAACGTGTCCTCTTGATAAACATCCTGCCATCTGTCGTTTGTACAGCCTGGGAACTCCACATGTAGCGGTGTATATAAGAACTGTATGGGACGGAGCAGGCCAATAGGTAGGTACGATACCTCCCCAGCTGCCACCCCAACTCCTTCTAAGCCATACGACTGTGTAGGCCCCTGCTCTTAAAGGGCAGATATGGAACTAAACGTGCAGCCCTTGTGCTGCATGCTTCCCAGGGAAGCCAGAGTGCTAGCATGTATTGTTCGACAGCCCCACACTTCTCCCTTGTGCTCATGTGATCTCCAAGGTGGTGGCTGTACCTCTGGGGTTCTGAATTGCTTTGACATCATGAAAACTCTCACAGAAGCGGGATCCCTGGAAGTCCCTTTCCAAAGACTAGGCGATGAATTAGTATGGAAACCAGTGCTGATTCTACTCTGGTTAAGATATAACCTGTTTGGCAAAGGAAACAGGAGAGAGAACTGACTGCACCAATAATTCCTACCACCACCTTGCCTGGGAGCTCTGTGCTCATCTCTGTGTGTGCTCACACCGTGGGGCAGACCAACGCAAGGCCTCAACTGTCATGTTGATGTAGAAATATGTCTATTATGCTACCAGCTAGTGGCTTCATTCTTCCTACCTGTCAGGACTATTTATTCATTTAGGAAGGTAAGTCTCGCAGGGCTAGGTGGGGAAGGAATCGGGTAACCACTTTGAGGGTCTCAGTGATCCCTCGTTCGTCACCTTTCGTATCTGTTTCTGCCATTGTAGTCCTTTTATTTTTATACACCGGGGACACAGGAAAGTCCTTTGCTTGTAGCTTATCTCTGATTTACACCAGTCTACATGCTGCATGAAAAGATCTGTGAGTGAGGACAGCATTTAACTTTCTAAAAGCACAGTTTCTTTTGATAGAAATTAAAATTCCACAGTAGCACTTGCCTTAAATCCCAGCGCTCCAGAGGCAGAGAGCTTTGAGTTCAAGGCCAGCCTGGAATATGTAATGAATTTTGAGCCAGCCAGGGCTACATAGTGAAACTGTGTCTCAAAAAAATTTTTTTGTTTATTTATTTATTTATTTATTTATTTTGGTTTTTCCTGGAACTCACTCTGTAGACCAGGCTAGCCTCGAACTCTCAAACTCAGAAATCTGCCTGCCTCTGCCTCCCCAAGTGCTGGGATTAAAGGCGTGTGCCACCACCGCCCAAAATTTTTTTTTAATTGACATTCTTTACAATCAATTAAAATCCTAAGTTAATTACTTCTCAGTCTTCTGGCTGAGAGCAAATGTAAAAGTCTAAACTAATTCTAGGTTATATGGCTGAAAATGAAATTAATGCTAAGTGCAAATGCCTCTGAAATCCTGCCTTCTTGGGACATTCCTGTCCCTCTTCCTGGGAATTTCCAGCATTCCGGATGTACCTGGTATGAGTCTGTCCTGTTTGGACCTCTGCGATATTGGTAGCACATTCTCCCATGCGGATGCTGACTTGTTCTGTGTCTCACACAGCCTACATTTATTCAACAGTTTCCTCAGTGACATCTATTGAGACCTCGCACAGCATTTAGTATAAAAGCACATGTTCACCTACATTTCAGAGCAGGCTAACGTTGAGTATGGATAGAGGTCTCACTGGATTAGGTCATTACTGATTCTCAGCTCTTGACATTACTTAGGGAAGTATTGTCCAGGCTACAACTGCCTTGCAATGATCTGTTAGTCACTTTTTCTTTGTGAAAGTATAAAGCAGATTCCCTAGCCCATAATGCCATTCGACTAAGCAAGCAGTCACATGTCACAAAATGCACAAATACAATGCCCTGGCAACCCTTCCCTCTGGAGAGACTGGACTTGCCCTTGGAATTTCCTATGTGCAAAGTGTTCACACTGGGTGAGATGACAGCAGCAGATGACAAACAGAAGCACAGGGAACAAGGAGCAGGTACCAAGAGTGGAATCTTCCCATTGGGCCTCTCTCTCACCATCATATAAGAGCTGGTGTGAGCTTGTCCTGTTTGGACCACGTCAAAGGGGGTGGGTGACTTAGCAATAGAAGAAGAAATGTTGTTTTACAGTAAGGCAGTCAAGAGCCACGGCTTTGAGTACAACTTCATGATGATCCTGGAGCACATACAGCTGAAGTTTATAAATGTGCTCATTTAAACAGACTCATAAAAAAAAATTCATCTTGGCATCCTCAGGACACAGCCATTTGGATGGTGTGGAGTCCTTCGTGATACCAGATCATGAAAGATTGTGCTAATACCCATGCATCCAATAACAGTCATGTGCCAGACATATGATGCTTTGCAGCTGTGAGCAAGGCAGATGTTACCCCTGCTTTTGTGGAATGTGTAGCCTAGATGTAGTACAGACCCTAAACAAGTAAGAAGGGTGGGAGGATTAATGACTCCCATGGAATGGCCTTCAAAGCATGAGTACAAGCCTCTGGGAAAGCAGAAAGCCCTTTAGTCTTGAGGAAAGAGAGATTTGAATTGACACTTGAGGTTTAAGTGGCAATCACACTGCAGAAGGCCAATGCGACCTCCGACAGAGACTGTGGAAGTAGGAGCTGGGTTGATAGAGAAGGGCTCGAAGTTCTGCAGAGAAGTAACTAGAAGGTTTTTAAATCTCTGAGAAATGTGATTGGGTTTTCAGTTTTAAAAGAGTATTTGTCCAACGTGTCTAGATAGCGTGAGAGAGAACAGGCTGAGAGGAGAGGAGGAAACTAAGGTGAGGGAAGAGGCCACTTCACCAGGTACAGTTAAACACCAGTGATCAGTGCAAGGCTGAGCTTGCAAGAAGAGGAGAAAAGAGCCAGACTTTCTATCTTTAGGAGCTTGTATTAGTCAGGTTTCTCTAGAGTCACAGAACTCATGGAATGTCTCTATAGAGGGAAAATATAAGGGAAATTATTGGAATGATTACAGTCTGCAGTCCAACTACCCCAACAATGGGCAGCAGTGAGTGGGAAGTCCAAGAATCTAGCAGTTGCTCAGTCCTACGATGCTAGGTGTTTCAGCTGGTCTTCTGTATACGCTGGAATCCTGAAGTAGTAGGTTCCAACAGATGTGCTGGCAAGTAAGTGCAAGTAGGCAAAGAAGAATGAACCCTTCCTCTTCCCATTGTCCTTAGGGTCTGTAGGCCTCCAGCAGACGCTGTGGCCTGTATTAAAGGCATGTATCACCACACCTGGACCTAAGCTTTTCTTTACCTGGAACTGACTCTGTCCAAGGCTGGCCTTGAACTCAAGAGTTCTGCTTGCCTCTATCTCCTGGGAATAAAAGTGTGTATCACCTTGCCTGGGCCTAAGCTTTTCATGGCTCCTATGCCTCAAGATCCAGATCAAAATTGTGTATCATCCCATGTCAAGATCTTGGTCAAAAGCCTGTGTCTTCCAGCTTCAAGATCTAGATCACAGGTGTGTCCTGCATTTCTGAATTGTAGTTCATTCCAGATGTAGTCAAGTTGACAGCCAGGGGTAGCCATCACAGAACTGTACTCATTTTGTTCATTCATTTACTTCTAAGTTAATTTAGTGCAAAGGAAGTAAGACTTGGTATTAAGTAACAAGACTTTAAAAGGGGGGTTAGCGATAGAATTCATATTCAGCATGATAGATTTTCTTTCCTCCTGGACTATCTATCACCCTGAGCTGGCACTGTACGCCACAGGTCCTTGCTTTCACTAGCCACTTCTTTCAGGTCTTCCTGCATACCTCTCCTGTCTGTTCTTGTCAGCTGCACAGTTGACCAAGGGATACTGCAGAGAGAGGAGGGAAGCCAGGGAGAGGGTGGTTTTGCCTCAAAGACCTAAGTGTCAGTGTTCAGTCCTTGTTTGGGATGGGTATGCATGACACACAGCTCCCTGTTGCTCTTCAACTCAGTCATGATTTACATGGCAAATTATAATGGGCTGCTCACTGCTAACCGCTCCAGGTATTCCCCACGAGAGAACGACGCAGAGTGATGCTCCATCACTGAGGCACTTCTGGCGAGTGGATCTCTTTGATGACCCCTCCTATGTCAATACACAGGCTCTTCAGAGTATACGCAACTATGCTGGAAATCAAAGCTCAACTCTGCCACAAGGGAGCCCATGGCACCTTGGAAGTAAGTGCCTTCCCACTACCTGTATTCATTTCCTGGTTCTGTGGCAACAAGCCACTACCAATCACTGTACATGTTGTGTCTGAGAACAGCTTCCGATTCTCCCAGTGATGAAGATTGAGTGACCAAGCCAAGGTGTTGGCAGCACTGACTCCTCTTGATGCCCTGAGCAATCTGCCTAGTGTCCCATCCTCATTTCTGTGGCTAATTGGTGACTGTCAGCAATGCTTAGCTTACAGGCACCCCAGTAGCTGTACTGGTCTCACACCCTGTATCCCCTGCGACTGGACAAGTCACTGCATGTTGAGTGTGATGAGGTGATTGTACAAGCTTACCAAATTAGACAGGTGGCTAAGACCTCAGTACGTCTTTTGGGGGACCACGATGGACAGGCGCCGTCCATCATTTTTGGGGGACCACTATGGACAGGCGCCGTCCGTCTGTCATTTAAAAAACTATTCCTTGGCTTCATCTTTGGGGAGTTACAATGATTTTTTTTCTTTTTTTCTTTCTTTCTAACTTGTTGTTTTATTTGGGGAGTATTACATTTATTTGTTTATTTTTGTGTGTTCATACACATGAACAAATACAAGGGCATTCAGGACAAACTGCAGGAGTGGGCTCTCTCTATCCACCCTGTGCATCCGGCTGTTACACTTGTATCTGTTAATTTCTTAACCTGTTAGCTGTCAACCGTTAGTGAATAAATGAATCAGATCCTTGTGGACATGTTATACATTTTAACAATTTGGCACATGGTTTTTAAATAATTCTTCCAACATTGAATTTACCTCCACTGCTTCTGAGTCTCTGATGTGTGTTTTTGATCAAGGAAGGGCTCTCAAAGCCATCTGCTAAGCCTGAATTTGTTTCTTTGCAAGAGGAACAATGGCCATTATGTCTGTTCCATTCAGTGGCATTGCTTACAGTAATAATCATGTCAACCCCTCTGAGAGTGCATCCTGAAATGAGGTGCTGTGCTCTCCAACATACATTTCAACTGTGGGGCGAATACAACCACGTGAGGAATCATGGTTTGGTGAGCTTGTTTGGGGGTGGTCAATGTATAAGTAGGAACAGATCAAAAAATCTAAATAAGCCCAGAGCCTAAAATCATTTGAAAAATAAACAATGTTTTTTTTACAAGATAATATGCTCAGAGGTTGGTGTAGTATCAGCCTTGACTTGCTCCAGAGCTGGGGAAGCTGAGGAAGCCTGGTCGCTGCCCAGGAGGCTTCTGCAGAGCTGCCAAAAGTGAGCTTCTCAGGCAGGGCAGCTGTGAGGGGAGATGTTTCAAAGGGGATTTTGTCGGGTCTGGCCTTCAGCAGATCCTTAACTCCCTAGACGAAGGGAGCCCTCACAGCCCACTGTGTGACAGGTCGTTTGATTTTTGGTAGAAAAGTAAGATTACTTGTCACTCTCACTCCAACCAGGCTTGTTCTCTGGAAGTACACACCAAGGTTAAGGTCGGCATATCAGGTCTCCATGGACTCTACCATCTAGATGCACAGGAAAGAGTATGCCTGGGCGAAGCTGGCAGTGGAACACACTTCAGGCCTGTGAGAGCTTTGGCCAACTCCTCAGAGACCTGTGTGTTCTGCCAGCGTTGTCCTATACAGGGTCCAAGAATCTGCATGAGGGCCACTCAAGGGAGGGAAAGCCCTTGGAAGGTAGGCCTTGGAATGGTAGGCCATCTAGAAGCCGACTGCTGGGCCAAGGTGGAGTTGTGAAGGGAGAGGCAGTTGGTTCTTCCTTGAAGGAAGTGCTCCTCTGTCCATCACAGAGAACATTTTGTGAGATGATGCCAGGATATTCATTTCACATTGTTAAAGTAAGTTCCTGAGGTTGTCCAGAGGGAAATGTCCTGTGTGGATAAGGCAATATTTTTTGTAGAGATGGCTTCCAAGGTAACTTAGTAGTCTTAGCCTTCTGAGCCTTCTTAGCAAAGTGAATCCCTGCTTCGAGTTCAGACAAGATTGCCTTGTTCTGATCAAAATGCTTCTGTCTTTACTCTTCCCCTTCTTCCTGCGCTGATGTCAGTACCCTTTCTAATGCTTTCTCAACCGTCCTTTCTTATTGGGATTCAATGTGCACAGCCTTCTGGGCTTTCTGGAACCCCCTTGAGTTTAACATCTGCTTGCCATTCCTCCATCCAAAAATCAAATCCCAGTCCAAATGCATTTATTATTTTTATTTTATTTTTATTTCATGTGCAATGGTGTTTTGCCTGCATAGATGTCTATATGAGGGTGTTGGGGCCTCTGGAACTGGAGTTACAGAAAATTGTGAGCTGCCATTTGTGTGCTGGGAATTGAATCTGGGTCCTCTGGAAGATTGGCCAATGCTCTTAACCACTGAGCCATCTTTCCAGCATTCCCCCCATACACATATACATACACACAATGCAGTTTTCAAATGTTGGTTTAAGAAAATCTTATGAGACAGAGCAGTGGTCATTTTTTTCTACACACACACACACACACACACACACACACACACACACAGACACAGACACACACACAGAGAGAGAGAGCCTTAAATAGATCTTCAGTTTCTCCTTTGTAATTGTTCCTCCTGTTTCCTTCTTCTTTAAAGATCCTTTTAGCCTCTTTTATCCAGACTTTGCTTCTTTTATCTAGATAGCCTTACTGATCCACTCAGGAAAAAGAGACAAACACACTCGAGTGCAGAGTTGTGACCAGCAGGGATCCTTGGTCCATCCCATCACACTGCAAACATGAGGTGTTCTGAGGAAGCCTTACTGTTTTTACTGACAGTGGTAGAAGGGGTTCTCTAGCTCTGCTTTCATAATCAAGAAAGTTCCCAGATACTGGAGCGTCAGACAGGCTGACTTAGTTATATCTACGTACTTGTTCAAACGCTGGTGGCACAGGACTGAGACTAGACAGGATCATTACATGTGACACCTGTCTTCCCTGTCTGGTTCCAGGTGTCTGCGTGGGCCCTCACCTGTACTCAGCCCTGAGAGGAAAGGTGGGAGTAGTGTGTTAACATTCCTTTAACAGGTGTCTCCCGAAGTGGCAGAGTATCATTTCTTTTCACTAGAAGACATCATTCGTTTATTCACTTGCAGCTGCAGAACTCAGACACGTGGCCACCTCCCTGTAAGAGAAGCTGGAAGTTACTGTATCTGTGTGCCTAGAGAAAGCATAGGAGTTCTGTCCCGGCCCGGGTCTCTGCTATGTTCCTTCTAACTCTCTAACGTCTAAGTGGCACCCGATACAATATGGTACACAGCATCCAATGGCTGTCCTCATCACCTGCCAAACTGCCCTCCCTCTCTGCACTCAAACCATATGGTGGCATAGAATACTAGGAATTCAACTGTGCTAAAAACTCACATTCACAAAGGGGTGTCAGTCACCGGAGTCTAATGGGCAGGAACTCTGAAGACTTTTTGAGCCACAGACAACATCGCTTGCTTCAACCCTTACTTAGATTTGTGAGCTGACTCTTGTCCATTGCCGTCTGTGGGTTTTGCTGTGCCTCAAGCTTTGCTGTGCCCTGGGCTTTGCTATACCTCCGGCCATCACCCTCTGTATGTTCACCTAGGCCAGATGCTGAGGGAGTGCCTCTCTGGAGTCTTCCCTCTTTTCAGCCTGTTTTACATTGATATGAGCATGAGAGTTTGAAATTTGTTTCAGGAGCCAAAATATATACCAAGGAGGCATGCAGATTCCTTGGCAGTGTGACTTCTCCAATGGCGTGGTACAGAATAGCCCTTTCCTGTTATTTTACTGTCCTATGGATCCCTGGTGATACATCCTCTTGGGCTGTTTTTTATTATTCAAGTATGCCTTTGTTAGGTTTATTGATTTTGCTAAAGCATTTGAGGCTTTTTCCTATGTGATTAATCTCTCTTTTTTATTTCTACCCTGTTTCTAACATACATCCTTTCAATTAGTTTTTCTTCTTGTCTGGCTTTTGCTGCATTTTCTTTTATGGGCTATATAATTTTATTACCTCTTGGCTCTTTATACTTTGTCTGAGATAGTGGGTCTAGCTTAGTTTTGTGTGGATCAGCTCTGCAGACACTGCTGATTGAGTGCTATCTTTCTCCCCTGATACCACTCTGATACACTAAGGTCGTGTACATGCATCTATTTCTGGGCTCCTCACTACACTTTCTCTACTGGGGCAGTCCTCTGTTCTGTGCTACCATACTTATTACCAACATAGCTTTGTAACTTTCTTTTTTTTCTAAAGTTTTTTTTATTTAATTTATATGTGTACACTGTAGCTGTCAGACACACTAGAAGAAGACATCAGATCCCATTACAGATGGTTGTGAGCCACCATGTGGTTGCTGGGAATTGAACTCATGTCCTCTGGAAGAGCAGTCAGTGCTCTTAACCACTGAGCCATCTCTCCAGCCCCGCTTTGTAACTTTCTTAACAGGCACATAATCTTCCATTATATTACAAATAATTTTTCTCTTGGTCTCTTCCTTCCCCTCCTCCTCCTCCTCCTCCTCCTCCTCCTCCTCCTCCTCCTCCTCCTCCTCCTCTTCCTCCTCTTCCTCCTCTTCCTCTTCCTCCTCCTTCATGATCTCACTATGTAGACCAGGCTGGCCTTAAATTCAGAGATCTATCTGCCTCTGCCTCCTGAGCACTGGGACTGAAGGCTTGTGCAGAAGCCATGCCTGACTTTAGGGCACTATTTTAACCTCTCTAGTCTACCCTTAACTTTTTTTTTTTTTTTGTCAGAATTTCCTAACAACTTTTCTGGTACTTTATGGAGATGTACTTGTACTTTCAGCAATACAAGTAAATTGCTATTGTTTAATCTTCCGTAAGTTCTCAGTATTTCCAGGTTTCACAATCGAGACGTCGCTTGCTCAGCAGGACTTAGCTGTGCCTCTCATATCGGTACCCACAGTACTTTGCTTGTGATTTGAGACATTCATGGAGCCACAGAGGCTGTGTCAGTCTTCTAATGGGTGACAGCAGCAGTCTACCTCCTGCTGACTTTCATGCTTTAAGCCTTCAAACCAAGTGTAGTGGCACTTTTCTATGGTCCCAACACTTGGGGGGCTGACCCAAGGGGATCACAGGAATTTAAGACCTAACTGGGCTACATAGAGAATTTGGGGACAGCTTGGTCTACATAGTCAAGTTGTCTCATAGAGTGAAGAGCAATCGGCCAACCTCATGTCCTTTTGTGGTGCGTTTAGTGCCCCCCCCCCGCCAATTTTTCACATTTTGTGCTATTTTGTAGTAGTTTCACTGTTTAAAATAGTCCCCCAGAATTGGTACTAAAGTGCTGTGTTGTGTTTTTAAGTGAAAGAAAACTGTGAAGTTTCCTCACGAGAAAAGATAGGTTTATAAAAATGTTGATCAAGTATGAATTATAGTACTATTGGCTGTGATTTCAGTGTTAACAAAATACGCTACACTCCATATCTTTAGTCCAAAACACACAAAATAAGGCTGTTTGTTACCTGAAGAGACTGTTGCAGCCCGAGGCTTGTTGGAAAGGAGACCCCATGTTTCCTGTAGAAGTGAAGGTTTGTTTTCAACTAATATAGCATCTTCAATAACTTTCTGAAGCACAATGCCTACAAATAGCCAGAACTGAGCCTCTCTCAGTCCCCTGCAACAGGACATGAGTCATGTGCCGAGGGGAATAGGTTGAGCTTGACAATCTCCTCAAAGTTTGCAGCTTCCTGTATCCTTAGTTATGGGACTGCCCTGACATTTGTATGCATTTTATTCTATAGAGCATTTCCAAAACTCAAAGTAATATAGATGCTCACAGAATATAAGTAACAATGAATGGATTAATTGAGAAATTAAATCCTTCCGAACCCTAATGCTATACCCAACACTGTAGATGATAATACTTTCCTGTGATTACTATCCAAATGCTGGTGAATCACTGAGCATCTTACCCCTCTGCCCATCTCTACCTCATTAAGAAATGAGCACTCCCCCTGCCCCTGCACATCCATCTTCTGTCTCAGAGACAGGCCTATGGTGAGCACACAAGCTCTGTTGTTAGCGTCAGTTATCACTGAGGAGCAGGGGACAGAGTAAAGTGTCACAGCCAGAGTGGGTGATGAGATCAGAGTTGACTTTTGTTTTTGTTTCCCAAATTAACATATATAGCCTTCAAAGTTAAAATGAATTGGAAAGCCTATCACATTTTTTCTTCTAATGGAGTTTGTTGCTAAGGAAACAGTTGAAATTGGTCAGCATGCTGTGTCTTGTCCTTGTCTGAATCTGGGAAGCTATGTTAGAAACACTGTCTGCATCTCCAAGGCTAGCCCATGAGCTGTTGACTCTTCAAGATGATATAATGTCTGTTTTTCTTTGTTTTGTCCTTGTACACAAGCTGTCCATAATTTTAGGACAAACCAAAAGTGCACACCACACTAAACTTCCTGCATCCTCATGGTGCATGCCCACATGCATTGCCCACATGCATTGCCTCACACTGGTGCTGAGCCTGCCCCTGACATGGTGCATGCCCACATGCATTGCCCACATGCATTGCCCACATGCATTGCCCACATGCTTTGCCTCACACTCGAGCAGAGCCTGTCCCTGACACAAATGCACACAGGACTGCTCATTAGAAGTCTTCCAGTGTGTCCAAGAACAGGCAGCACCAAGGCCAACTGCAAGCATTAGTCAACATCTGGACAAGTTTCCTCAGGCCTTTTCTGGCAACAATAGGAAGAGAGGTGATGATTTGTGGAGGAACATTCTTTCCAGTCATTAGCTTTAGATTTTTTTTTTTTATGAGATGTGTTTGTGGTGCTAGCTCTGTCACCTGACATTCTTATGTCAAATAGGCGTTCTTAAGTAGGGCAGGGCTCCAGCCGACTGACGTGGGAATTGGACTATCCATAGGGTACTGAAGGCCGCCTACACGATGACCTAGCAGCATGGTGGAATACATGTCGCACAGTTTGAGCTTAGTGCATCTCTGCTGGTGAGACCTTCCGTGAGGGCTGTAAGTTCTCTGCTTGTTAATGGATGAAGAGTGCTTTCTGTGCACAAGATCCTCTGCATTTCAGAACACAATGCTGCTTTCTATGGTGGTTTTTGTTTTTTCTTTTCTTTTTGTTAATTTACCATTAAATATATGGTTTTAAACAAAATTCAGTCATAAACTTGATATAGTGAACTATTTTCGGTGGAGTTAAAAAAAGGTTTATTTTAACTTTGTATGAGTGTTTTGCCTGCATGTAGGCACACCACATTCATGTAGTGCTCATAGTGGCCAGAAGAGGGAGCCAGATTCCTTGGAACTGGAGTTACAGGAAGTTATGGGCCAATTTGTGGGTCACACACTGAACCCAGGGTCCTCAGCAAGAGCAGCAAGTGCTCTTCGCCTCTGCACCATTTTTCTTTTTATCCTCCCTCCCTCTCTCCCTCCTTCTCTCCCTCCCTCCCTCCCTCCCTCCCTCCCTCCTTCCCTCCCTCCCTCCTTCCCTCCTTCCCTCCCT